CGTCTGTCTCTGTATCTGTTTTGTATAACTGTGTAGACTGTTACGGTACTGTTTAATAGGGATTAGGTCCCTGAACTGAATGATTGTATATGTGTATATACTGTTTTGTACTGTTCATGTATATGTGTATGAAAAGTCTTTTTGGCATACAGACTATCACAGCTCATTGGACATTGTTTATTTACTGTTTTGGCTTTCGCCATGCCCCTGTACTCTGTTTTACTGTATTACTGTTAAGCAGGCCTTCGGTAATCTTGGATTACTGGCCGGTTACAGTGCTAAACTCATAGGGACGGGTTTGGGTCGTGACAGTCATTCAATGTACATGAGGACTTAGTGGTACATAAGAAAACATTTGAGACCATCCAGACCATAAGTTCAAAAAAGGGGATTTACCAGTCAATTTCCCATAATAAAACATATCACATAACATATATCCCAGCCACATATAAAAATTATTACATATTTTTATGGACTCATTTGGGAAGTTGGTTAAAAATTAACTTTTAACTTATTTTGAGTCACATCACCTCTTATGTTTTTTATTTTCTAAAAAAACAAAAACAAAAAACAAAAAATTAATTTTTAGCTAATTTCCCAACGCACTTGTATCTCAAATAAAAGAAAACATTTTTGGTATGGCACGTTCAGAGCTCTTTTCACTGATTATACCTACCTCCAGCTTGTTTTGTTTCGTTTTTTTGAAAACAGTTTTCAGAAAATTCTGCTTTCTTATTTTTTATATTTTTTTGTTTTTAATGAATTTTTTAATATTTTAAGCAATTTTTTTAATTTTTAGATATACCTAACATAAATATACCTAAAAAGTAAAAAATTGTGAAAAAAACCTTTTAAAAATTCACTAAATACCAAAAACAAACAAAAAAAAATACGAGAATTCAATACATTTTTTATATTTTTATGTATTTAATAATTTTTTAAAATATTTTTTCACAAATTTTTTACTTTTTACTAAATACCAAAAACAAAAAAAAAAAAAATACGAGAATTCAATACATTTTTTGTATTTTTATGTATTTAATAAATTTTTAAAATATTTTTTCACAAATTTTTTACTTTTTAGATACATTTAAGTAAGGCGCATCTAAAAAACTAAAAAAAATGTTTAAAATTTTAAAAATATTCACTAAAAACAAAAAAAACGAAAAACAAAAAACTTAGTTTTCAAAAAACTTAATTCAGAAAATTCAAACCAAACACACTTTAGTACCCTTATTTTATTTTTTATTGTTTTAAAATATTAATCTATTTTAAAAAATTAAAAATTAAAATAACATAAATTTCTTATTTTGCTCTCATTTTAAATTCATTAACCTTACATTTGAATGGTAATAATTGTATTACCAAAGGGTAATTTTGAAAAATTAATATTTTTTAAGTGTAATAATTGTATTACTAAAAAAAAAATAGATTCTTAAAAAATGACTAATATTTTAAGACGGAGAAGGTCATTTTTTTATTTTTTTATAACGGGGTGTTCCTGTCAATTTACACATACATCAACTAATTTTGAGAAACCAATCACACAATCCACTTGTGAAGACCTCATTTAAAGTCAAAACAAATGCCCTGTATGAACTGGCTAGAAGGATCTTATTGCAATTAGTGAATATTGAACCTAAGATTTAGAGCGAGCACACTCTCAAACCTCAATTTGTGCCCGTTTGGATTGAGAGGTGAGAAAATAAACAATTAGAGTTTTTTAGTTAGATGAGAAAAAGAAAAAATTATTGTGATTTTTTACTTTCTTATTTGGATGGACTATGATTAAAAGAGTAATTTATTTTCTCATCAAATCTCACAATTTTTGATGATAAACAAAACTTAAGTTTAGCATGATTTGACTTTCTCCCCCATTTTTCTTCATTTGTCTCTATTTCTCATCTCATTAATCATCTAAACAAGTGATGAGAAAACTCCAATTTTTCCATCTCTTTTCTTTTTTCACTAAATCTCTCAATCCAAACAAAGTGTAAGGGATAAAAAAAAATTAACTAAAATGTGATGGGCCTAAAACAAAATCTAAATAGAAGATTTTTAATACAATATTTAAAGGATGGGGCTTGCCTCTAGTCCACCATTTGGACTGGAGGGTTCAGTTCAACCCATTAGGCTCACTTTTGGACTCCTTTTCAATAATTCGAGCCGTTGATATTATAGGATTTGTTGAGTATAGTATTCTTGTAAAAAATCACGTCGATCAGATAACGGATACTATGTATTTGGATAACTTTTTTATGAACCGTTAGTTTTCTGACCGTCTATTTTTTTTCAGAAAAAAAAGTAATCCAAATACATAGTATCCGCTGTCCGATCGACATGATTTTTTACAAGAATAATGTACTAAACAAATCTTAAAATGTGAACGGTTCTGATTATTGAAACAGAACTCAAAAGTGGGCCTAATAGACTGAACTGGACCGGACTATTCCAGATCTGGACTAAAGACGGTCCGAACCCCTATTTAAATATCAACTTAAATATATTATTAATTTGGGGATTTATTTAATGTCTTTACGAGTATTATAAAATGAAAAGAAATGAAAAGTAATCTAAGTTATTGAATAATTAGGTACACATCTCTTTAATAATGCTCTAAGTTATTGAATAAAAAGTGCTCTAAGTTATTGAATAATTAGTTATTAATTAATGTTTAGGTACACATCTCTTTACAACTTCCTATAAAAGTTCTAATCTACAAAAAATTAAATTAAAATAAATATAAATAAATAAAATTATTGCTTGTTAGTTGAGGCTTTTGAGATTTCAAATTCTAAAAGAATCAAAAGAAAATTATGATATAAATTGTCAAAAATAACCTTTCAACCCTAAAATAACTCTTTTGCAAAAATTTTTAATTTATTTTTCTCTCTACGTTCTTTTTCTTTTAATATTCTCTCTCTCTCTCTCTCTCTCTATCTATCTATCTGTTGGAGCAGTTGCGCCGTCGCCAATTGCAAATGACAGCTTTATCATCACCATTGTCGATTTTTTCATCTAGATCGTTTATGTATCGTTTCCTTTGTTTGCCTTAGATAAAATATCAAAATTACGACAACTGTATAACATTGTTTCTATACAAACTCCACCACCATATCTCTACTGTTCTGCCACCGCTACCAACACTACTTTGTTATTCCACCATCTTCCTTTGTAGTCGAGATTTGTCTTCCTCTTTTTTTTTTCTTTTTTTTTAATCTTTTTATTTCTTTGTTCTTTCTCATTTATCTCTCTATCTGTCTATTTTCCCTCATTCATTTCTCTGTTTAAATATATATAAATTTTCAATCGCAATACATATTTTACCATCATAGTGAAACTTAACTAGTGAAATTTCACTAAAATACACAATAAAATTCATCATTGGAAAGTGACATTTGATTTTTTTGGTTCTAGTGAAATGTTACTATGTTCAAAGTTAAAGAAGATTCATGATAATTAAAGTTGGAGAAGATTTAGAAAATTTTCACTGATTGAAAATAACCAACTTATTGAAATTTTGAAAAAAAAAATTCTTCAAAATTTCGTATTTATCATGTATCTTGTTTGATAGATCTCAATAAAAGGATTCAAAAAATGAAGATTTTGATATAAAAAAAATATATTAAACTTGGAAGTTTTGAAAACAACTTGACTGTTGTAACTATTATGTTTTTCAAGCATTCAGATTCAATAAGGATATTTTCATCCAAATGTTGTGTACTCTTGAAGGACTTATACTAGTAGCAAGGCTTCGCTTGGCAATTGATTATTTTAGTTGATTTTTAACCTTTTTAATTAAAAAAATTTTGCAAAAAGTAAAAATAATAATATGATAATTTATAATGACTTTTTAACTTTTTAATTAAAAACCACTCTTCCCAAACATAGCCTAAGTACTATTTTTGTGTCTTTACATTAATGAAGACTTAGGATGGAGGAGCTGGACATAAATCCCCTAGATTCAAAATGAAGTCTATGATAGAAATATATATATATATATATATAATTTAAAACTAACTTGAACCTATTCTAAATGGAAAAGTCTGAGATCCCAGAATTAGGGTCTCAGAATTTACCCAGTGTGTATATGTGGTGGAGATTAAATTGATGAAATATGAGATCTACGAGTGAAATGAATTTGAACCATTGATTATTGTTTATGGATAAATTCTATGAAGACAATTATGGATTTGTAGTATTGCTAATTCTAAATTAGTGGCAAGTGTGTCTTCTTATAATCACAAACCGGACAAAAGGCCTAGGCTTGTCTCCAATCTTAATTGGAATGGATCATGCTGTTGGGTCTCCGTGGACCTGCCATGGAACCCAAATCGATAATCCAAACCATTCAATGTGTACAACTTGTTGATTACTTCATCCTTTAAAAAATCATATAGATCGGATATCGATATCCACTTAAACAGATTACATTTATTGATAGAATTGTGAACTGTTTAAGTAGCAATCGATATCTGATCAACATAATTTTTGATAAGAATGAAATACTCGACAAGTTCTGCACATGAAACGGTTCGAATCATTGAGATGAACTTGAAATGGGCCCTAAACACGCCAGACTAGACAGTCTAATTAAGCTGCCCAATTGGAGACAATCCAATCCCTTTGCAAAATATATGGAGTCAAGAGAAAAGAATAGCTGCTTTTCATTTATAAACTAAATGGACGGAGTCTTTTTTATAAATTTGCAAAACTTGCATTACTATGTTCATGGGTAGGGACTTTTTTCATTGTGTGCATGTATTTTTCAAAGTGGGCCTTCTAAAAAATAAAAAAAATATCTTATTAACAAGTATCCTATTGACATTGGTTAATAAATTTAAAAAAAATTGTATATTCATCAATATACATATATATATATATATATATAATTAAATGTACAACTATTTAAAGCAAATTAATAAATAAAATAAAATAAAATTATCTTATAACTTTCCTTTACGTTTGGAGAATTTTGAATTTTTGGGAAATAGGTGCCTTTTCGCAAGTAGGGGCCTAAAGCCCAACTTTAGGGTCCGACTATGGTATGCAAAAGTGGTATTTGTGTAACCATACATCGGCCCTTCCTGTGTTTCCGACGGTCAACGATACTCCTTAGTTCTTCTCACTTCCCCAGTTCCCCAGCCCTAGTTTTTTCTCTCTTGAAGAAGAAGATGTGCAACAGCCAATCACGTTGGATTCGCCTAGGGAGCTTCTCTAATTTATCACTCTCTAATTTATCACTGAAAGCAGCAAGTTCTTCAGGTACTTGCATTTTTTTGTTTAATTTGTTAATCTAATTTGGGTTTTTTATCCTAGTTATGTTTGGATTTAGATTTGTTTGGGAATTAGTTTGTTTGATTGTTGAGTAAGTATAGGACAACAAAGAAAATTCATACCCATTGATTGTAGAATTTTTGCTCTGTCAGAAAAAAAACAAACTATAATTCCTTTTAAGATTTGTTCAATTATATATAGTTCACACAAAGGTTGGGTTATTTGTATGAAAGTTGAGAAGTAGAGAATTCTAGCTTGATTCCCTGCTAATTTCTAGGCACTGTTGGAGGCCAACGCCACATTGATTTTTTTTTTTTTTTTCTTTTTTTCAGTTAAACATACATAAAATTAGGAGCTCCATGTGTTATATACCTCCCACAACAAAATTCTTTGTTTCCATATTCATACATCTCCAGTATGTTCTCATTTTATTTTTGTCAAATCCAGAGCATTCATGATCCTCAATGGAGGAGAGAGCTGATCAAGACTAATCTAACATGATAATTAGCTTCAAACTAACATACTTTTGATGTACATACACCACCCATGATTTTTTATGGATGGTTCTTTTATTTATTTTTTTTATTTTATTTTTTTTATGAAGTGATGTAGTAGTGCATGTATGTAAAGAACCTAAAAGTTTTATGACATGAGCATGAACAGTTTTTTCTTTTTGTATGAAGAGGTGATTGAGAAGTTGTGTGTAAATGAATCTAGGAAACATGGACACGAATTATGCTCTTTAGCTAATAATTTTAATCTCCAGGAAATTCTCATGTAGGTTTTGATATATGGAATTTTAACTATTTTTAATATTGTTTGCATATAAATTGGGATTTTGTATGAGAATAATATGTAAAACTTTTATAGTATTATGCATATAACAACCTTCATAATCCAAAATCATGATTTTCACAAATAATAACATAATGCGAAAAAAAAAATAACATACCTGGATAAGTTATGCAAAACCTTCAAGTGATTCATAATTGATTGAATGTAAACCTAATTTCAATATTAGTGGAAAAGGTTTCTCTCTCTTAACCCTCTTTAGAATATATTCTATACAGAATAATTTGATAGGTAGTCTGAATATCCTTTTATAGGTAGAGAGATGACCAGTTTCCTTATTCAACTATGATTCCACTTTCCCATCAAAGTAGGATATTTGAAAAACACTCTTCTTTATTTACCAATTAATTGTAGCAAAAATATGGAATCATAATCCTGTCAAATCTCTAATTCATATTATCATATCATGTGGGTCAACATAATGACTAAATAATTAATTTAATCTTACATAATACCCTACTTACTACTCAACTAAAACTTGATTCATTACTTAATTAAACATTATTTACAATTCAATGTAACTTTACTTCGTATTTCATTAGACTTGAATTGTTACTCAATTAAATCCACTTATCAATCAATAAGACTCTATTGAATACTCAATTAAATTCTAATTACTATTCAATTGTACTCTATTTATTATTCTATCAAACTATATTCAATTGTACTCTATTTATTATTCTATCAAACTATACTTATTACTCAACAAATTCTATCTATTACTCTATTAAACTTGACTTAATATCCAATTAAACCATACTTACCATAACTTACTATTCAATTAAACATGACATGCTACTCAATGATATTCCATCATACTAGATTTGCTATTCAATTAAACTTTATTTACTACTCAATAAGATTTCACTTACTATTCTATCTGATTTTTTACTACTCAATTAAATACCACTTATTATTTAATGAAAATTACTACTACACAATCAAACTTAACTTACTGCTACTCTATTAGACTAAAACTTAATATTCAATTAAACCCCAACCACATTCTTGGTAAGTATTTAATGATATTCTATTTACTACTCACTTACTATTCAATCAATCTCCATTTACTATTTTATTAAATTTGACTTACTGCTCAGGGGTGTTTTGGGAAGATGGTAAAAAGTTAACTTTTGGCTTTTTACCAAGCTTTTTAACTTCTTTAGAAAGTGATTTGAGAAGTTGATAAAAAGTTGCTTTTGACTTTTTTTGATTAATATTTATTTATGATATCATATCATATCATAATAAAATGACCAAACTACCCCCACCTAATTTAAAAAATTTACAATTTCACCTATGTGGCTTATTTTGATCCATGAAGGGTATAGTTTTAATTTCACAAGTATCATTTTTTTACCTCCCCAAATGGTTTTAATGGTAAAAAGCCATTTTGGCTTTTTTGGGAAGAGCTGCGAAACGCAACTTTTTTGGCAAGTTGCCAAAATGACACTCAATGAGATTCAAATTCTATTCAATCAAACAATCAATGAAGATGCATTGCTAGTTTCTAATCCAGAAATTTCAAACTTCTTTGATGATAACTTTGTAAACTATTTGCCAAATAATTTCAAACTTCTCTGATGATAGTGATGATGACTTTTAGTTACTACTTCACTAGACTCCACTTATTACTCAATAAGTTTTCACTTATTATTTTATTGTGTTTCACTTACTACTCAATTTTGGTTTCACTTATTACTCAATGAGCTTCCACTTACTATTTCATTTAGTACTTTACTAGACTCCAAAAGATAAGTGATATTACAATTAGTTAATGAGATTCCACTTATTATTTCATTACTATTCAATTAAATTGTATTTACTACTTAATAAGTTTTCACTTACTATTTCATTATACTTTGCTTACTACTCAATTAAACTCCATTACACTTAGCTTACTATTCATTGAAATTTGACTTACTACTCCATTTTTTATTATTATTATTGTTGTTGTTGTTGTTGATGATGATGATGATGATGATGAAGAAATAAATTGAAACACATCAGATTTGTTTAAATAGATAAAAAAAAAATTCGAATTGTTATTTTAACAGGTAAAAAAAATTGGCTTGGTATTTCAACAGATTACTCTTTGAATTTCAATAGATAGCTTTGTATTTCAACAAAATACAAAATATTTAAATAGATAAGGGAAATTTGAATTGAAAATATTAAAAAATTAAACAGATAAGATGGATTTCTCACTAACAAAAAAATATACACTGAACCTAATGCCTTATACCCTTCTTAGCTTACAGATTTCTGAATTTATAATGAAACTATAAAAATTTTAAAACCAAATCAAACTAAACAAGTAATTTTATAACATGATCGCAAAATATTACTTGTAACTTATTCAAGCATCAAGCAAATAAAAATAATTTACATAATTATTTAAAACTTAATTCTACTACTATTCAATTAAATATAATTTACTACTTAATAAAGGTCCACTTACTATTACATTAAATTGTTAAATAAATTATTTGGACATGTTAGGTATTTTTTAAAAATATTTGAAATTATAAAAATTACTAAATAATTTTCATTTATCCTATTCATTGAGACTTCACTTACTTCTCAATCAGATTGACTTACTATTAAATTAAATCTCACTTACTAGTCATTAAGGGCTGGTTTGGGGTGTCCTAAAAAAGTGCACTTTTTGTCTTTTTGGACTAAAAAAGTTGAGAAAAAAATATGGAGGTTTGGGTTAACTTTTTGGATTTTTATGAAAAAATGTGTATTAAAAAATTGTATAAAAAAAATGTGTAAGAAATGATTAGAGAGTGGTGGGCCCCAGCCGTACACAATGCAGCCGTGTATTGGGGTTGGAAATTATTGTCTAATTTTTGTACAAAGCATTGGACGGTTTTGTTTGGCCCGTGGGGGTCATCACGGGTCCCATTTTAATAATCTGAACCGTTCAATGTGTGTAACTCGTCGAACACTATGTACTTACAAAAAATCATGTTAATCGGATATCGATAGCTATCTGATTAGATTTATTTATTTTTCAATCATTAATTATAACACCATCCATTTGTTGTACATAACTGATTTGATCATATAGTTATCGATATCCGATTAATGTGATTTTTGGCAGACATATATTACTCGACGATTTCTACATATTGAACGGTTCAGATTATCAAAACGGGACCCGTGATGGCCCCATGGGACGAACAACGGTGTGTATAAAAATCACACCCAATCCTTTCTTTTGTTCTGCACTGCCGCACACAGCCGCTGACTATTTGTCAATTCCGTGTGTACCTGTTTTGAAAGAAATTAATTTTTTAATTTTTTTTTTGGATGAATAGTGATATCTTTTTGGATTTTGGAGTAACTTTTTGACTTTTTGACTGATTCAGGTTACCCCAAACCAGCCCTAAGATTCCACAAACATTTGACTACTGACAACTATTGAGTACTAAGTAGAATTAGAACGAATAATATGACTTGACTCAAATATCTGACGATTGGTAATCATTGATTAATAATTAGAATTAAAACAGATAATAAGCATTATATTTAAGAGTGATAAGTATTGTCATAATAAGTGATAAGCACTATCACAATTGATTATAAGTAAATTAAAATGTTTACCCCATCCGTCATAAAACATTAGTCCCTTTTCAAAAATTAAAGACTAAAATAATATGAATTTTCTATTTTGCATTTCTTTTAAATTCATTAACAGCACAAAATATAATTATTACAATTGATATTCTTAAAAAAAAATGTGCTATTAAAGGATAATTTTGGAAAATTAATATTTTTAAAATGTAATAATTGTACTACTAAAAAAATTGGATTCCCCAAAAGGGACTATTAGTTTGGGACGGAGAGAGTGCTTATTATTCGATTTGACTGAATTACTACTAAAAACTTGAATTACTCCTCATATTAAACAACACTTACTACTCCATCAGGCTTGATTTATTATTTAATGAAATTTCACTTACTATTTAATGAGACTCCACTTGCTACTCCATTAGACTCGACTTATTACTCAAAGAAATTTTATTTACCACTTAATAAGACTCCACTTACTACTCTATTAGACCCGACATATAACTTAATGAAACTTTATTTAGCACTCAATGCACTACAAGAAAATATATTTTTGGCGACCATTTTTGGCTACCAAAAAAAATTTGGGCACCAAAAGTTACGGAATTGGCTACCAAAAATAACATTAGTCAGCAAAAGTCAACTTTTTAGCTACTAATTTTTTTTAGTAGGGGAATGTTGATTATTGGCGACTAAAAAAAATTTAGTAGCTAAAAATATTACAATTGCCGACTAAAAAAATTTTTAGTAGCTAAACATATCACAATTGGCGACTAAAATAAATTTTAGTAGCCGTAGAGCTACTTTTAGCTACTAAATTGTTTAGTAGCCGAATGAATTTTAAAAATTTATTTTTTATCTTTGGCGACCAAAATTTGGTCGCCAATAGTTTATTTTCAGCGACGATTGGAAAGTTTAGTCACCGTAGGTAGAGATTTGGCTACCAAAATCTTTAGTCGCCGATTGTAAAATAAAAAATTATTTTTTACCTTTTAGTCGCCAATAGTTTATTTTCAGCGACGAAAAACAATTTTAGTCGTCGTATGTAGAGATTTGACTACCAAAAGATTTAGTCGCCGATTGTAAAATAAAAAATTATTTTTTACCTTTGGCGACTAAATAGTTTATTTTCAACGACAAAAAACAATTTCAGTCACCGTAGGTAGAGATTTGGCTACCAAAAGCTTTAGTCGCCGATGGAAAACAAATTGGATGGCTAAGATCAGTTGAACAAATATATTGGATGGCTAAATATTTGGAGGGATTTTTGAAATTTTGGAGGGTTATACAAATTAATTGGATGGCTAAGATCAGTTGAACAACCAACGGGTGAGATCAATACCTCTCCAATGAAATATTAGGGTCATCTCTTCGTTTCAGAAGATGAAGGGTTGAGGAGTCCAGCTGCGTCGCCGTCCCGTCGCTGCTCCTCCTTGCGTTCGCGGGCAATCGGAGCACCTCCTCCGCCATCGCCATCGTGACTGCTGCGACCACCACTGCCTCCGCTACCACCTCCGTCGATGCCCTCTTTTCACACCGCCGCCTCCTCCTCCTCCGCCGGTCTTCACAGATCCACCGCCACCGCTGCAAGATCCAGAGGCTTCATCACTGAGAAGAACTCTACTCCATTGATGCTCCGTCTCACGTATGCTCTCTCTCTCTCTCTCTCTCTCTCTCTATATGTATATGTATATTTACTTTTGATGTATTACATGTAACTTCAAGCCAAGGGCTTAATGTGTAAACGAGTTAGTACTCTTTTGTTGTAACCAAGTGTTAACTTGGAAAGCTGTAAGCCCGTAGGGCATTTTGTTTTGATGTTAACATGTAATACTTATGTAATGGAACTCTAATGAATAAAAGAATGTGGTTAGTTTATATGTAAATGCATGTCTTATCTGATGGGTTTAATGTTGTTATTTTATTATTATTATTATTATTATTTTAAATTGGAGTTTTTTGGGAACTTTGAATTTTGAAAAAGAGTAGTAAACCTTACCAATTTTTAACACTTGAACCGTGATATGAAATTAGTCGATAAAGCATAAATCAAATTTCTAAAATAATCAAACAGGCTATAAATGCACACTATGTGACTCTCCCAAGGCAAGCTCTTGAAGCAAAAAATCCAAGATTTCAGTTTTTTTATGTTCTTTAGAAAAGGGTCTCTTAAAAAGTGAGGCTCAGCAATGTCTACATATTCTGTAAATAAACTTGCTTCAATAAGATCTTTATGTTAGTTTACATGCAATTCTATGACTAGTTCGTTCTGTTTTGCTCCCCCTATCCCCATGTTTCAGGTGTTTATGACTCCTGGAGGAAAAGGATGGGTTCTTCGTACCCTAGAGGACCTCCCAAAAGGTGCATTTGTATGTGAATATGTTGGGGAAATATTAACCAATGCAGAGCTGTTTGAGCGAGTCTCGAAATGCCCCAGCAGTGAAGAGCATGCATATCCTGTGCTGCTTAATGCTGATTGGGGTTCAGAAGGAGTCTTAAAGGATGAAGAGGCTCTTTGTTTAGATGCAACACATTATGGAAATGTTGCAAGGTTTATTAATCATAGGTAAGTTCAACAAAACACAGAAGCGCATATGCCCTTGTGGCTTCCTCTTAATTATTAATATGTTCTGATCCTTGTTGGTTGTTCCTCGGTCATTAACATTTGGTTTTACTCTGAAATTATCATAACTGATGTGTATATGTATATGATGGTAAGTTTTCATTTTCATCCATTAAGTTTTCATCCATTTTTATTTTCATCTACTCTTTTTTCCCCCCTCATTTGGTTGTGTTTGTTTCCTGAGAAATGTGTGATGGTGTTCGGTGTTTTGCAGATACAGGAAGTGATCCGAGGTACCAAGGACGTACTTTCTCTAGCTCAGGTTTGTTTACTCTCTCCAATGTTTGTCAAAATTTACTTACTAATTTTAGTTTTTGGTATGTGGGAAATTGAGAGATGTGAAAAGTTTTTGTTTTGTCCCTTTTAGGTCTCAAATTTGTAATTCACCAATTCATCTTCCACGAGAACATGTTCGGATTGCTGAAATCATGGCCTCGAAAATCTCAATTTTTTGATGATCATTAACAACCAATTACATGTTCCTGATTAAAATCTAATTGAACTCCAACTTAATTAACTTATTTATTTATTTATTTGTTTATAGCCTTGTTGCTTCTACCTAAAGTTTATTACCGGCAAATTGATTTCGGGAACATAAAGACTGTGTTGAGATATGAGTTTACAATGAGTTGTGAACATGTGTTATTGTTTTAACTTCAAATGAGGTATTTTGTAAAGTTGGTTGGGAAATGGGAGTGGTGAGTTATATTATAGACCTTGTTTGTGGGCCTGAAAGTATAATTTCAGTGTTTGTATAATACTAACTTATATTAAAAGCCTGTAGTGTGCATGTCTTAATTTATCCAGAACAGGTTATATTTTTGTTCCTGTTGCTTTCTAAACTCCTCAATATGTTGAACAAGCACAATTAGGAACAGGTTGACTATTAACTATATATATTTTGCTTAATACATTAGTGTAGGTATTAGGTATATGTGGTGGTCGGTTGTGGACCTCTGGGAAGATAGCAAACACTTCAATGGCTAAGGATTGCTGGAGGTGGTGGAGGAGAAGACCAAGGATTGCTGTGTAATTTCTGTGTTATCTTCTTGGTATGTTCTTATTGATTGGGTGCATGGGCTAGTCCTTGCTTCAACAAAGCGAAGGTATTAGGTTTATCGCTACATCTCATGATTTGGAAGCACCTTAAGCTACCATTACATCTTGTTTGCCTTCTGGGGTTATCTTGTGGACTGCCCAAGTTTCTATACAACTTGAATATTTTACTTCTATACTCAGTAAGTAGTCCCCTTTTATTGATTTTTATCTCATTCATTACAAAGTCTTGCATATAGTTGAAGGGGAGATTGAAATTGATTGAGTGGTTTAACATGATTGTCAAAAGTATAGACATATCCTACGTTTATCAAACTCTCTCTTATACATTTAACCAATAGCATTTCTTGCAATATAAATTTTATGAACTAATAACAGGCTAGACAGTAGCCCTGGAAAGGACTCCTAGCTTTACTTAAAATTTAAGGAAATTCTAACCAAAGTAGAAACTCCTAAAAATTAAAATTTCTAACAAACATGACTTTCTATGCAAGAGCTCCTTTATTGGCTAATGATGGGCTTTAAATGGGCTGTTTTTGGAATCTTTGTCTTTCTATCCGTCTATCCTTTATTAACAGTTTGTGCCTGTTCTCAGTGGACAGAAGGAATGAGAGGAGAGAAACATGAAGGGGCATATATAATCAGTTAAAAAACTCATCTTAGGTCAAGGGCTCAAGGAACTGAAATGCATCTTTATGTAAGATGCACCTGTGCTTTATGAACTGTCTGATAGATTTGTGTAAAATGCATGTGTTCTATGAACTTTCTGACAGATTTTCATTTATTTATTTATTATATTACCCTATTTAGGGTTGTTATGTCCATTTTTATAATGTCAAGAAAGAATGTAATGGGTTTTAAATAATTTATGGTTGGTGGCTTTTAGATATTGTAACCACATCTTTATATAAAAACTATTATATAATTTTACTAATAAATAAATGAGCAAAACTGGCAAATGCATGTAATAAACTCAGCAGTTTGTCAATTGTTCAAGCATGACTCTACCATACCAAATAGATATAACTTCTAGGAATGTTTTGATTCCACAAAGCTACTGGTCACTAGTTCAGGTATGATGTTTTTTTATTTTTCCCATTTTTCTCATTGCAGTCATTGCTCTGTGATCCAAACCCAAACCCAAGCCCAAATGCAGGTTTCCCCTTTTTCTCATTTCAGTCAATGCTCTGTGATCCAAATGCAAACTCACCTGCAAATTCAGAAGCAGCATTGTTGTTTTGTGAGAACAAGCGTGAATACAACCGGAGGGTGCGTGAAATTGTTGAGCAGAGCTGGACAGAAGACTAAATCTCTCTTGCTTTGGGTGTTATAGGACGTAATTAAGCTGCTTCAAATCACTAATCTTCCTCGTTGTAGGTGGCTGGTCTGATTTTCTCTGGTGTTTGTGTATCATTGCTGTATTAATTACAAATGTAATAGAAAGTATTATGTTTACAGGTTGTAATTTAAATTATTGACGTTAGGTTATTCATGTATTATGTATGGATTTAAATCATGGTTATTCATGTATTATGTTGAATGCTTTAATGGTTGATAATATATTTTAGTGTTGATGGATTATGTTGTTTATACAGGGTACATGTAATATAAATGAATACAGGTTGTTTACAATTTTTTTTTTTTTTTTTTAAAAAAAACATAAAATTATTTGGCCACCAAATGTTTTGGTAGCCAAATAGGTAATCAAAAGTTTTGGCTACTAATAATTTAGTAGCAAAAACATAACCCAAAACGTTTTTGCCACCAAAAAATTAGTAGCTAAAAAATCTGAGAATGAAAGAAATAAACTATTGGCCACTAAATGTTTTAGTCACGGAAAAAAGGGTATCATTTGGCGACTGAAACTTTTGGTGGCAAAAAGTAAAGAAATGAATCTTAATAGGTTTTTGGCTACGAAAAGTTTTAGTCGGCAAAAGTCACCACGCCTAAGGTAGAACTTTTAGTGACAAAAAGTTAGTCGCGGAAAGGTCACGTTTGCCGACTAATGAAGGATTAGTAGCTAAATGTTCACTTTCGGTGACCAACGGTTTTAGTGGCGAAAAGATACCATTTGGCTACTAAAAGAAATTTAGTAGGGAAAAGTTTTATTTTTTGGCGACCAAATGAAGTTTAGTCGCCAATACTATCGCCAACAAGGTATGGGCGACAAACTTGGCGACAGAAATATTTGGTCGGTAAATCATTTCAGCGACCAAATTTATGCCTTTTGCCGACCAATAATTTAGTAGCCAAAAGTGACATTTCTTGTAGTGATGAGACTCCACTTAATTACTACTCCATCAAACTTGACTTACTATTGAATCAAATATCGCTTACTAGTAAATGATACTCCACTTACTCTACTTATTACTTTATTAGACTATTACTCAATTAAACGTTTGATACTTGACTTTTGACTTCATCAAACTTCACTTACTATTAAATGAAATCACATTTAAAGAGTGTCATACTAAGTGATAAGTCGTTTCAAAACAAATGGTAAAATAATTCATAACGAGTGATAAACAAATTTAGAAATCTAACCAATTATAGAGAGCGTCATTGTATTATCTCATTTATTACTGAATGAGATTCCACTTTCTATTTCATTAAATTTGACTAGCTACTCAGTTAAACCGCATCTACTACTTAAGAAGATTTCACTTATGATTTCATTACACTTAACATACTACTTAATTAAATTTCCCCTATTACTCAATGAGACTTCACCTACAATTCTATTACCCTTAACTTATTACTTATCAAACATTTGACTATGACAACTATTGAGTGGTAAGTATAATTAGAACGAATAATATGACTTGACTTATTTACTTAATCAAACATCTAACTACTGACAACCATTAATTGATAATTAGAATTAGAACAAATAATAAGCATTATATTTAAGAGTGATAAGTGTTGTCATAATAAGTGATAAATACTATCACAATTGATAGTAAGCCAAAACACTTTCTACGTCACCATCGACAACTTGTGCTCTACGCTCAGTCCCAAAATGGTTGTACACGCCCTTTTGTATGATCCCAACATTCTCATAACCACCCGCTTGTTCTACCATATAAGAAGTTACTCAATGAGATATTCCAATTTCCACTTACTATTATATTAGATTTTAGTTATTATTTATTGAGTTTTCACTTACTACTCAATCAAACTACTCAATCAAACTATACTTACTACTTAATCAAATTATACTTACTACTTAATTAAACATAACTTATCAATCAATAAGACACTACTTCAATAGATTTAAGTTAATAGTCAATAAAATTATACTTAAATAGAAAACAGTAAATATAAACGTTACCAAATAGGCTCTTAAATAGTAATTACTATTTTGAGGTGCTGTAGTTAATAATAATAATAATAACTATTTTAAAATTAAGTAATTTTATTTACAATTTTTGTATTTTTTATTTATTTTTAATATTATATCAAAAAATCAATTTTTCATAATGACTATTTTAAAAAATTAGCAAATTTTAACAAATTTTAATAAATTAAAATTTACATATCATATTTTATTTTTACAAATCATAACAAGACAAAATATAGAGGGGAAATAATTAAATATGGTACGTCATTAGTTTTATGTATTTAAAATATAAAAGAAGATACAATTTTCAAGAATTGAAGGTGATCTGTTTAGCATGTAATATTTTTAATAGTAAGTTTATTCATAACAAATAGTAAGTGAGTGAATACCAAATAGTAAGCATGTTTGTAGCAAATGATAAGTTAGCATCATTTTTTTTATTTCAAAATTAACCAAAATTATTTTACTTTTTAGAAAATCATCTTACTTTTTCTACCTAGTTTTATTTTTAATTCATCCAATGGCTAGCATTTATCTTATCTAAATCTAGTGGTTTATATTTTTTTATGTAACATACATAAAAATCACGGCGGTAAAATTACGCTTTGTCTATTTTATGTTATTGTTATTTTTTCACTTTAATTTTTAAAATTTTAATTTTACTTTAATTTTTTAAGTTTTAAATTTTTAATTTACTATTAAAGTTAACTTTTATTCAAATTTAGATAAAAAAAATACTACAATAACTGTCACATAATATAAAAAATATATTATTATATTGAGATTTGAGTTAATGTCAAATGTGTAAATTATATATAATAAAATATTTTTACACCATGCGGCTGTCAATATGTCATTTCTATTTAATTTTTAACAGAAGTTAACTTTAAGAGCATGGTTGTCAAATTGCGAATTGAATCGTGAATCGTATTTCTAAAAATTAAATCGTGAATCAAATCGAATCGTGAATCGTAAGATTCACAACACTATATGTATTTTTTACATATAAAATCACAAATATATTACTTAAAATGAAAAAAAATAACAATCTAATATAGTGCTTAAAATCACTGTTGATGCACAGGAATATCTACATAATTTTTTAAAAAAAATTAAAAAATTTCACACACAAGAAAATAATAAACTACTAGACAATAATGACAAATGAGAATCATTAATAGTGAATAAAGAATCAATAAATAATCAAATAAGGACAAATATATAATTTATATAAAATATTATATTATATTATATATATATATATATATTAAAGGAGGATAGTGGTGTAGAGCATTACGGTAACATTAAACAAATACTCATTACTTTAATATTTTCTCACCCACAATGAGACTTTATGGTAAAGGAAAGCTAACTCAAAGATTGATTTTTTGAGTACTGAGAGAGAGAAGACTTGAGCAGTGAGACTGACAATGGGTAGAAAAAGACAATTCCTAACTATTTCTTTACACACCTTCAGATTTCTCACTGGCAGATTCGAAAATCCTCATCTTCGGATAGGTTTGTCTCCTTTCTTTGATTCATTTCTCTCTCTTAGAGAAGCCCTAGTTCGAGTTTTTCATCTGTTCTTCGAATGATTTCTTTTATTTATTACTCCTTTTCCTTTGTTTTTTTTTTTTTTGAATTAAAGAGGTCAAATGACGTCGTTTAACAGATCTGGGTAGGAGAAAAAGAAAAATTTTGAATTGTGAGTATCGTATGTATCAGCGATTCACATCGATTCCTATGATTCTTACTTCGAATCACACTATTCTTTTAAATTTATGATTTAAGTACTCGATTTGAATCATTCTATGAAAAAATCATATCGAATCGTACGAATCATATCGCGAATCGTACGATTCAAACAACCATGTTTAAAAGTAAACTGAGAAAAAATTGAAATATAAAAGGCCAAAGTGGGGAAGTAAAAAATGAGTCAAGGGGACAACGTATAATTTACTATATATATATATATAATGACAACAAAAATTATATAAAAATGAATACTTGCAATTGTTTTGTAAGTGAACAGTTATTAAAACCAAATTAGACAAAAATAAAATTAATAATAAAAATATTTGTGTAATTTAAAGCAGCTTCAAGAGACCAGCTTGCTTGAGCAAAACTAAAATTTAAATGGCCCATGCAGGTCTCGAACCTGCGACCTTCGCGTTATTAGCACGACGCTCTGAAAAGAATTTTCGTTATTTATATAGTCTTTTGCCTTCTCTTTATTTAATTTTTTCAATTTTTGTCACCCTCTTTTGTCCAGATCAGTATATTGAGGACTGGCCACTGAATTTCAATGGCCCTGTTTGGTAGAGCTGTGGGAAAGTGCTTATACCTTATACCTTAACAGTTTATAACTTATAACTATGAACATAAGTTGATTTATGACTTATAAATTAAGCATCTCCTGTCTCACTCAAAGAATAAGCTGATTTCTGACTTATAAAAAGGTATAAGCTGCATTGTTAAACTAAACCAAATATATCAAAATAGCTTAAATTAAGCTGAAAGCTGAAATAAGTAGCTTTTAAGCTGCACCAAACAAGCACAATATGAAAATTCTCTTTTACGTGTAAACACTGTTTTCTGATTGCTATTGAATATTTCATTTTTATTTAATTTTCTTTCTTTTGGTGGATTTGGATTTATTCTCAATTTTCATTTTTGTGCAAATTATAAAAAAGATTGATATTTTTTTTTTAATTTTACTAAATAGAAGATTTTTTTTAAAGTTAAAAAAAAAATCTTAAAAAAAATCTAGAAGGCATATTTTAGAAATAGTTCTTCAAACAATTTTTAAAAAATTGAAAATGAATTTTTAAAGTTTACTAAAAAGAAGTTTTTTTACCCTAACAAATAAAAATGGAAAACAAAAAAATGCAAATGATATTGCACAATTTAGAAACCTCCAAATGGAACATAGTGAACACAAATATTTAGACAAAAATCAAAGTCCAACCCTCTACTGGATGTAACTTTATTCACAAGGAAAACAAATCACAATTCATTCTTTTACAATAATAATAATAAAGATAAATTATATTTTTCACCCTTGTAATTTGGATTTTATTATTTTAATTTGAATAACTTGATTTCTACACTTTAGTCAAGTTTTAATTTGGTCATTTCATCAAAAATTTCGTTAATTTTTTCTACTTGTACACCACAAGAGACTAACAAGTGTCTCAAAATCGTTAATTTTATCTTCCAACTTGAACAAAATGACTAAATTAAAACTAAATTCTAGCAAGGAGTACATTATTCAATTTAAAATAATAAAAATCAACGAAAATTTTGAATCAAACTACAAAAATTAAGAGCATAATTCATCCTAATAATAACCATAACAATAATATAAAACAAAAGCCAAAAAAGGGCACTTCAAATGGTGGGAAATGAGGAAAAAAAAAAATATCAAGATAATATCACGTCGTCATGGACACATAGTATTGCCATTAGGGCTGGATATAGGATTATCTGAATCGCACAATCTGCGCCAACCCGAACCGATTGGCATACAAATGGGTGGTTTCGCAGACACAATACGGGCGAATGCGATTTGAAATATGACATAATTGTGGATTGCCAGCGGGTTGCGGGTTTAATCCGCATCCGCAAGAGTCCGCCCACACTTAGTTTTTTTTTTATAATAAAAAAACCTAGACCGTTGATTTCATTCATCCTGTCCTAGATATTTTTGGCTAACACACCAAACCCTAATTCATGATACAAAAAAAAATGTTGTAGACAACATTGTTTGAGAATATTGTTTTTGAATGTTTTTGTTTTTGTTTGCTCTGTGAACATTGTAGGAAATTGAATATTCTTCTTCATGGAGGGAAAATTGAATATGTCAATTACTTTTGAAATTGAAATCAATCTTATATTATATTAAATCTGAAAATTGAAATTGAATATGAAAATTGAAAAAAGTCTAATCCGCAAACCGCTCACACATCCGCGAACCCTATCCTCACAAAATGCAACCCGCACTGCGGGCGGTTGTGGGTTGAATTTTTTCCATACCGTATACATGCAGGTGGGTTCAAACCGATCCACAAACCGTCCAAAATCGAACCACAAACACCCCTAGTTGCCATGCCTACTTTTAATAATTATACTTTCACTTAAATTTTACTTTAATTTTTATATTTTCAAATTAAATAATTTGATCTCTACACTTTAAATTTAGTCTCAATTTAGTTCTTCCATCCAAATTTTTATTAATTTTTTCTATATGTACATATTAGGAAATTGACAAATGTCGCTCAATCTTTAATTACTAACATATAATTTGAACAAAAAAAAAACAAAATGAAATTAGATTTAAAATGTATGAATGAAACTATCGAATTTGAAATTATAAAGGTTAAAGTAAAATTTGAATCAAATCATAAGAATAAAAAATATAACTAACTTAAAAATTTTATTATTAATTGACAATATTAGTGTCGATAATGACATTATATTAATGTAATACCACTGATTATTTTTATTTTTTTCAATCAAAACCCAAAGTTTTAGACTAGATGGGCTCCATGGAAGAAGCATGATGAAGGGACTTAACGAGCAAGTCGAAAAGGAGAGAAGGGGCGGAGAAAAATGGGCTGTGGTCGCTCTTCAAGACATACACCTCCGATGGGGGCCACCTCTTGATCATCGCGTCTTGTTGATCCGGTTTCACCACGTTATCATACACCGTCTTGATGTATACACGTGGCACCTTGTCAATCATATCGTCCTCTGCATTAAATTTTGCTGATACTAATGCTTTAATTGGGCCTGGTCTTAGAAGCATTGCTGCTAAAGTTGCATCCTGCACATATCAATCATATCACAATTGTTAGCATTGATATATATTGTTAGGACATGTTTTTCATCAGAATCTATATTAATTTCTATTTTTTTATACATATTTTCATAAAAAATCAAACAATCATTCCAAATATATTAGTTTTTTTTTTTATTTCAGATTTTATTCAAAAAGTTACTAAAATAATATATTTCCAAACGAGACCTAAGATTATTCAAATTGGGTTTAACTTGTCTTCAGTTCATTTTGTGCATCATACGATATTGTTGGATTTGTGAGATTTACCACGGATCTTATTTTAATAATTCGAACCGTTTAATGTATAGAATTCGTCGAGTATTTTATCCTTATAAAAAATACATAAATCGGATATTGATAACTACTTAATCGAATCAGATTTTTATCAATAATTTATTTTGAAAATTATAATTACCGTTGACCGAAATCTGATCCAATCAAGTAGCTATCGATACTCAATCAACGTGATTTTTTTACAGGATAAAGTACTCAACAAATTCTGCACATTAACGGTTCGGATCATCGAAACAGGACCCATAATGAACCCCCATGGTCTAATAGTATGCTTCAATCCGATTTTAGATTGAAGAGAAGCTTAACCCTTTCAAATTAATAAAATTTTGTAAATTTCTTTTCATAATTTTGAATCAATCTAAACATGAAATAGATACATAATCTTACAACTTAAGAATATTTATCTCATCTAATCTAATTGGTCTTGACAAACATAACTATAGTGAATTGAACCAACTACAAAGAATCAATCGGTTCATTTTGTTAACTTTTGGAATTGATTGTCTTTTTTTTGAAAATTAATAAGATGAAATTATATGACTACAATTAATATTAATTTAATTTTTTTATAAATCATCTATACGCAATCTTAAAAGTAATTAACAAATGGAATCATTAAAAGAAACCCAACCCATTAATTATCTAGCATACCTGATTCAAGTCTTATTACCTCCCCCTTCTTAATAACAGGATTTATTAATATTTATGTATTTTATTTTTGTGTTTCAAAATTTTGAAATTTATAAATGAATATGTGATTTTGCTAATTGTTTTCATTACAAAAAAATGGTAACAGTTTCAAAAAATTCAAAATTTGAGAAAACATAAAGAAAGTGTTTCACTTGTTTTAAAAATAATTTTCATTTCCTTCCTCTCCCACCTTCAACAACCCCCTTTCGGCCACACACTCACCCTTCTAGTCACCCATCAACAGTTCACCAAACAAACACACACACACACACACACACACACACACACACACACACACATATATATGGGCTTCTTTTAATGATATTTTTGTGTAGATATAGCTTAGACTTTTTAATCTATAATAACATTACAAATTTTGCAATTCTAGCTCCTTGGAATATCTTATTATTTAGGGGTTGACAAAATCAAAGACGCTTTTGATAGCCTTAGAATAATATTTCATATTAATTATCATTTGATATTTGTCAAATTATCGTTAAAAAATCTAATAAAAATAATTAACTCTCACTATTTTAATCAATAAATATCAAATTAAGGCATCACATAGGGACCACCAAAAACCACCAAACCTATGAGACTCCCTCTGAATTGGGATCCTCCCCTTGAGCCCCCTCCTTAATTCCCTCCTTGCAAGGGCCTTCGGGTCCACTTTGAGGCCCAGTTTTGATAATCCGAACCGTTAATATTTTTAGATTTATTCAGTATATTATACCTGTAAAAAATCAAATTGATCGAATATCATAAAGTATGTGTTCGGAAAATTGTTTATTAAAAAATAGTTTGTAGTCCCAATTTTCTGAACGCATACTTTCTGATATCCGATCAACTTGATTTTTTACAGGTATAATATACTGAATAAATCTAAAAATATGAACGGTTCGGATTATCAAAACTGGGCCTCAAAATGGACCCGAAAGCCCCTGCAAGGAGGGAATTAAGGAGGGGCTCAAGGAGGGGATCTGGACTCACTCTGAAGAGGTTGATACACTCACCAGTTAAGACAGGTCATCACAAACTGGCTAACTAAGTTGACACCAACATTAGAATTATTCACAGAGGAACCAGACAAATCCTTGGATAAATGATTATTAATTACCTCTGGAGGACTCATTTGATAAATAATTTGGCGTTGAAATTCTTTCTTGACAAGTGCACTTGTTGGAGGTTGATCTGTCCCTAGCCCAAACCCTACTTCATACACATCACCAAATTCAGATAAATCCGGCACTCCCTGCAGTTAAATAAAAAACACAGAACATGTAATATTGTACATACATAGCTCTGTAGGGGTTTTGAATTGCATTTCAATTGTTGAATGTCCAATGAAACTTAAATAAGGAGTTGACTTGCATATGAGTTATTACTCAATCTTTATAGCCCTCTCTAATCACAGATGGTAGACTAATACTATGAACACATAATGGACCACAGTTTATAAAAAAAAAAAATACAATAAATAATTGAAATTAAATCTAATTATGGTGAATTTACATTCAAAATAATTTTTTTATCTATTCATATATTTTTTATGATTTGCTTTGTACTCTTGGCATTAGTGGTGAATGATGCCAATGGAAATCACACCATTCAATAAATTTAACGTTTATTATATACATCATTAAAAGTAATTTTAAAAATAATAAATTAAATGTATGAAGCAATTTTTTCCACTGGTTGTAAACAACCTATTAAAGAATACAAATATCATATGTGACAGAAATATAAGGTTTGGAAAGAAATAATTGGTATCGTGGGGTTTGTGTGTCTGTAATACAATTACAGATTCCTCTGCATTTTTTCATGCTAGCCATGTGTTTATTCAGACAAATCTCAGTTCATAGCTGCCCTTTGGCAAGTTGGTTGGATTTGGATTGAAATCAAAAAAAGTGCGAATTACATTCATAGTTCCTATAGTTTGGAGTTTGTGTCACTTTGATCCCTAACTTTTTAATTGTGACATATTTGATCATAAATTTTGAATCTTATTTCAAATAAGGACAATTGAAAATATCATTACTTAATTTTAAAGGCAAAATTGTCAATTTAATAAAATATAAACTAATTTGACAAAAATAAATGTCAAAAAAACATTTTTGAATTTTAAAAATTATTTATACCCACTAAAGATAAAATTATGTAAAATTGATAAATCTCTTAGATATTTATTTATTTATTTATTTTACTAAATTAATTTTTATTTTATGTTTGGATGATAATCATGTAATGGGTTGTTATTTTTATTTTCATTATATTAGTTTCTATTTTTTTAAAAGTCAAACATGACGACAACTTTGATATCATTATTAAACCAATCCATTAAATTAAAAAATCTAAAACTAAAAATATTTCATATATTAAATATATCTATTACATATTAAAATCTTAACAATCACCCATTACATGATCATCATCCAAACACAAAATAAAAATTAATTAGGTGAAAAAATAAATAAATGTCTAAAAAATTTATTGATTTTATATAATAGTTATTACTCAATCTTTATAGCCCTCTCTAATCACAGATGGTAGACTAATACTATGAACACATAATGGACCACAGTTTATAAAAAAAATACAATAAATAATTGAAAAGCCTCGTTTGGGAACAGGCTAATTTAGTAACTTTTTGGCTATTTGGCTAAAAAGGTAGATTAAAAAAACTTGTATGTTTGTGATGACTTTTTGGCTAATTACGAAAAGATGTGCAAAAAGTAGAGAGAAAAGAGAATCTTTGACTTTTTAGTATAAGTTGTTGGCTTTTTGGCTAACTTTTTGACTAATTGGCTAAAATAGCCTCTTGCCAAACGAGGCCTAATTATGGTGAATTTACATTCAAAATAAGTTTTTTTATCTATTCATATATTTTTTATGATTTGCTTTGTACTCTTGGCATTAGTGGTGAATGATGCCAATGGAAATCACACCATTCAATAAATTTGACTTTATGCATGTATATTTTACTCAATTTACTCAAAAATGATTCAAACCATCAAAATAAAATCTAAAATGAACCTATCAAACGCACAACTGTGCATGATGCACAACTATGAAGCACGGATACTCCAAAATGGACCGTGTATAAGTATCAGATACATGTTGGATCCAAATACGCGTCTGATATACCGGGATACATATTGGATACGGCAAAAAAGTATTCCAATTTTTTTTTTTAATTTTGAATACAGCTCGGATACGTGGGAGATACGTTCCAGATACTTTTGGGATTTGGTAGGGCTGAAAACGTAATTTTTGAAACTTTTTTGTGGTTCAAATCGTAAATAAAGAAGTTAAATTGAAAATAATACAAATTAGATCCTTCAAATACACATACACATACACATGAACCAAAATCAAAAAAACATAGAGAATAAGAAAAATCCTAACCTCAATCCACAAATCGAAGAAGCATTGAAGTAAAAATCTAGATCATTCTGTCTCAATTAGGGATGGCCATAGGATGGGTTTGAAATTTCCCTTCCCTACCAATGGACAAACTCCACCCCTGCCCCTGCCCCTGCCTCACCCTCGTTACGGGTGGAAATTTTCAACTCTATCCCTGCCCCGCGGATACCCGATATCCGTGGATATCCGATCACATTTTAAATAACCAAAAAAATTGAGAACCATAATTCTTAACACACTAAATAATTTTCATTGTTTTTATATATATAAACAGTGAGATTTTTAGAATTATTATTTATTTATATTTAAACAGAACCACAAACTTTTAATATTCTTTTCTTATATCTAATTAGATATATATATATATATATATATACATATATTATTTATTTATATATTTATAATCATATCGGGCCAGGTTTGGATCAGGAGAGGTGATACCTGCCCCGATTGCAGGTGACCAAAACATAATACACCCCCGCCCTACATAAGTATCGGGGGCGAATAAAATTTGCCCTCTTCGAATGGGTATAAACGAACCACAGATTGGATTAAAATGATCATCTCTAATCTCAATTGATCGACACAACAACAACGACAAAAACATGTTTCTCTCTCTCTCTACTCTCGTTTTCTCTTTCTCTGTCTCTCTCACTCTTCTCCCAGTCACTCCTTGTCTCTGTCTCTCTCGTTTTCACATTGTCTGTCTCTCTCACTCTCACATTTCTTGATTGCTTTTTCTTTTCTTATCTATTACATTTTTGCTGCTTTATTCATTTATTTATTTTTTCCCCCTTATCTCTTTCTTGATTGTTTTCCCTATATGCTACACCCATCAAACCGATTCAACAGTCCAAATTGCAATCCTAGCTATGTAAACTACTTATTGGATAAACACACCAATCACTACTTTCTTCTTATGGTGTATTTAATTTATAAATTTAATTAAAAAAATTGATCACGCTATGCTTTCGGATGGTTTTAAGATAAACGAATGTAACAAATGCGTTTATGTTAAAAGCACAGACAAAGGCTATGTCATAGTTTGTCTTTATGTGGATGACATGTTCATTATTAAAAGCAATAATGACATGGATTTAGATTAGGTATATATATATATATATATAATGTATATTGTATGTCACACGGTTGGAATGACTGCCAACCATTCTCACTTGTGCGTCAAGACAGTTGTAACCCATTTCACTCTGCGCCGTCCGATCCGTTTACCACCATCACCATCAACATCACGCTCCCTACCCCCACATGATTGGAAAATTATTTAGTACTTTTATTCTTACGTAAAGTTGTTATGCCACTTGAATTTAATCCTACATAATATATTTTTATTCTTACGTAAATATATAAAGTAATGCCGTACAAACATAATCACAAATATATATATATATATATATATAAACAATTGGCTTATTTTGAAAAATAGGTTAAAAATTAAATTTTTGACTTTCTTTTATAAAATATATAAAAAAATAAAGAGATGATGTGACATAAAAAATTTAAAAACAGTAATGTTATATACCACTAAAAGTGGTGCTCTAAGAGCATCTCCAACGATTCATCTAATGTTTCATCAAATTTGAGTAAAAAAATAACCATTTCCTCAATTTGATACTTTATGCTCCAACGGTTCATCAAATTCTGTATCAAATCCTGTGGGTCGACTGGTTGGTCGACCGATAACTATAAATATATATATATATTTTTTTTTTTGCTTGCAGGTGGGTGACTCTTGTGGACATAATTTACAAATTTGTGGGATTATGGAAATTCATCAATTGTTTTGTTTGCAGGTGGGTGACTCGTCAGGTGGGAATATGGAAATTCCGCTGTTTTGTCTTCATCCTTCCCAATTCATCCAAAGACTCTGAATCCATACGCTGTTTTGTTTGCAAGTGGGTGACCAGTTGGTTGACCGGCCGGTCGACCGGGTAGGCAAAAATATTTATTTATTTATTTATTTTTACCTATTTGAACCTTTTTTGACCGGTTTGAACCTACCTAATTTAAAGGAAACCGGGCGACCGGTTGGTCAACCGACCGGGCAACCGGTTGGTTGACCGGTGTATCACTTTCAACGGTCAGTAACAGTGATTTGGTAAAATCTGTGTCTTGATCTCAGTTTGATGTCTTGTTTGCTGAATTCTCATTTTGGTATGACTTTGGTGCAACCGTTGGAGCGTGAAAAAGTAAATTTTTCATCAAAATTTAAATCTGATGCTGGGTTTGGTTCACCATTGGAGATGGTCTAAAATACCACTAATGAGTTGGCACATACTTAAAAAAAAAAAAAAAAAACACACAACAACACTATGGCAGTGGGTCCACCCACTGCCACATCATTAGTGCTATCACTAATTAGTGATCTCAAATATTTTTGATTTAAAAATTGACTTTTAATCCAAATACCAAAATAGACCATAATGATGTGGTAGCATAACAGACCTAAAATTTTAAAACAATCATCAAGTTATTAGTTGCACAAAACACCACTATCACATTTTGATAGTACAGACTCTTACATATTTTCTATTGAAACATCTTTTTTCCATATAAGAGAGGCTACTTAATTGAGGTTCCCCCGATTATGTGAAACAGTCTCATACTCATCTATCTCTCTTATTTTTAATTCTCCTAATTCTATATTATTAGTGGTGAAATTAAGAAAACAAAATTAGGGAATGAATGAATGAATCCCATTCAAAAAAAATATATTAGGGAATGAATCATTTTTCTGTCCAAACATATATGGTGCTCTATTACTTTTTATGATGAATTACACTATCTTCACATTTGAAAAATTATAATAAACTCTACAAGTTTGATATAATTATACCAACTTTTCATTTAATAAGTTTAAAGCAACCAGTTTTTTTTTTTGTAGATCCGGAGTGACCAAAATTAATACATAGGTATATAGATACATGAATAAACAAAGGTAAAAATATACATTTTAATATTGAAATGATGATAAAATTATTTTCCCATTCATATATAATCAATAATCTCAAGTGATATCAGTGTAATTTACTCTAATTTTTATTAATTTAAATAGTAAAAATTTTTATTTTGTACTATTTTTGTAGTAACAATCAAATAAGTGATTAAACAGTAACACCCATCTCTTTTATATTATTGCTTTATAGACAACACAACATGTGTTTAAAGATGAATGGTGTGGGATCAATAAGGTTTGTTCGACTAACTACCACTTTTATATTTCATTAAAAGGTTAGTAGTTTTAAATCTCGAAAGTCTTAATCCTGAATTTATTGGAGTCTCTTTCTTGATCTGGATTTTTTTTTTTAAAATTATATATTATATTTAATATTTATTACTATGATTATAATTTATTATAATATCAATAAATAAATAACATGCTTATCCACATATACCTAAAATACCCCTATAGGCTATACCCCTCTATCCCTTCAATCCTATCATTTTCCTGTTTTTATAAAGACAACAAGTACTTCTTCAGACCCGGTCATGGCAAGAACCACCAAATTCAGAGCCAACAATATGACGTACACGAAAAAAAACATATTTTAAAAACAAATTGAAATTTAAAATATATGTTAGATTTATTTAGAATTTCATTTGCATCATATTAAATTCAAATTTACACTATTGATCATATAATTAAATTCTTAACACTTTTTAAAGTAATTTTTTTAATACATATTGTTTATCGGTTTGTGTATAGGAATCAGATTATTAATCCGTAGACTCTACATAAATTAAATTTAGATTAAAAAAACATAATAATCCAATCGTTAATTAGTGTGGACCCCATATAAAACCCACGCCAATCAACCATTGAAATCCCATGTGCAGCATAGTGCACACGGCATCGAATAACTCCTCAAAAGCTCACACATGGATGTATGGGCATATCAGAAATCTCAATCCATTATTGTGTTTTAAAATTAAAATTTTAAAAAAATAAAAAAGAAGAGCCTTTGTGGGTAAGAGAAGTCTATGTTTTTCGTCAGGAAGCAAGCAATTTTCTTTGGAATAGAAAAGAATGAGAATGGAGAGAGAAGTCAAAAATATATATATATATCAAAAAAAAAAATCAAAAAAAAAAAAAAAAAAACCTTACGTCTTTGACGTCTTGTTCTGTGGAAAACCCAGTTTTTAGCATTGTGGCTCCTAAATAGATTGCTAATCTTATCTTCTCTCCAAACTTGTGTGTTGCCTCTGTTATGCTCAGCCCTCCTGCACTGTGTCCTACCAATATCACCTGCAATATATGTATATATATATATATATCACAAATACATCATCATCAATTCTTTAATTTTATTACAAATCCGAAACCAAAACAGAAATTTTAGTGCCTCTGTCAATTATGGCACGGTGTGAATGAAGTAACTACTAACTAATAGTACAATGAAGTGGACATGAAAATTTAAATTTCGGGACCACTATTTTTGTAAGAGAGAAAGATAGGGGAGACCTTGTGATGATCAGGCAAGGAAGACATCAAGTCCATGAAAGGCTTGTTGTAATCTTGGAAAGAAAGAATGGTATCGACTTGGGATGGATCGATTCCGGAGGCTTTGAGGTCTATGCAGGAGACTTTGTAGCCTGAATTCTCCAACAAGCATCTGATCTTGTACCAACACCAGCTTCCACCACTGATACCATGCACCAGCACAAAGTGATCATCATGATCATCATGATTATCAGGCATCAACCTCCTGCCTGCTTCTTCTTCTGTCATTTTAACAGCCTCCTCTCCCATGCCTCTCTCTCTCTCTCTCTCTCTCTCTCTCTCTCTCTCTCTCTCTCTCTTGTTACTGCTTATATATATGTAGTTGGCATAGTCATATAAAGTCATTATAATTCATGCCTTATCTTCTTCAATAATGGTTGTTGTAATTTGGAAGTTAGGAGGTATAATCTAGCACAGTAATTTCCATATAAATTAATAATTTTTAATTTTTTTTCTTATTTACTTTATTAATGCGACACTTATTATATCATTGTTGTTGTGATTTGTGTTTTAGTTTTTAAAATTTTATCATAATCTGATGTCAGATGGTAGAAAATTTTGTAAAATTTATTAGTTTATATTTGTATTTTTTCATCTAATAGTAATGTCATAAAGTCCCAAATAAAATTAAAAAAAATCTAAAAATTATCAAAAAATAAAACATGTGCTTTAGAATTCTAGTGTGAAAAGTTTTTTTTTTTTTTTTTCCTCTTATCATGAGAACATAATTATTGTAGTATTGTTGAATGATGACACTGCCCGTTTAGTAATCAGCTAGAGAGCACCGGCAGAATAAATGGTTTCAGCTAACTTGTAACAGAAAGAAAAGGCTCCGGCGGTGGCTCTTCCACTCAGGGGCACTCCGACGATCAAGTTAGTATATCTCTCAAAGATAATCAAGTGCTAAACTCACTACTCAAATCATAAAATTGCATATCTTAGACCCACAGGGGTGCCTCTCTTTTATAGTTCACTTAATCCTAGTCCCATTAGAAGCCTGACTTCTATGGACTCCAACTCAGTACTTACTTTGGACTCCTCAAGAGATAAAGATAAACTCCCTAAGAGATTTATCCTCATCTTGACTAAGTCTCCTCTTCATTCTAGGACTCTTGTCCCTTATCCGTTTATCTCGGATTCCGATATCTTCAGAGATAACCTCGGCCTTGCCGAGATCACCTCGGCGTCTCGACCAGGACACGTGGTACCTCGACTGACACGTCAGCGTCACCTTGCCACGTGTTGGTACTCAGAAAATATATCCCCACAACTGCCCCCTAGGTTCTATTACCTCGGTATTCTGAGGTGATGGAACCTATATCGTTCCATTTTTCCAGTACGTCGGTTTTCAGTATCTCAGCCGAGATCATTATTTTGGCCGATATCCTTTTATTGAAGAACAAGAATTTCAAGAACCCTTCCACGCGTATGAGCTGCCATACACCATAATTCAACCGTTTTTAATCACGCGTTTCCTTCTTACTGGCTCGTGCCTGTGACACGCCCATAAGTCATCTCTTTCTCACGTGCGCCGTTTGACGTATGCGCTCTTCTAGGCGTATTGATTACTTTTTTTTTTTTTTTGCCGCCGTTTTCATTTTTGACAAAATCTTTACCCATTTCTTCATTTTTCCACTTTTGCATCTGATTTCTCTTGTTTTTCCTCTCTCTAAACCCTTTCTTTCGAATCCGCCATTGCTCAAGCTCCAAGCTCTGCAATTGTCTTCCGTCCTTCCTTTCTGTGAAGCTTTCGCTACTCTGTTACTCCTGCAACCTTCGTCTGACTTCGGCAATCTTCATACCGGCTTCACTCTTTTCTAGTAAGCTACTGTTCCTTTCGTTTTCAATTCTGTTAACATTCTTCATTACCTGTTGCCTTTACTGCATCTATTGAAACTTTTAATTTGCGATTCATACACCTGAATGTGTTGATTTCCGTTTTTTGCTTATGCCTTAAATGCATGTACTGTTCATAGTTCTTCTTGCACGCCTTGCCACTGTTCTTGGCCTTCAACCCTTTGTATTCTTCATGTTCTTGATAGTCCATCTCTGTTCTTGATTCTGAAACTTC